TGAAGGTTGGAGCGAGGGGGCTTGGGGCTGGGATCTGTGAACCCCTCTTCCCCCCATGTGTTCCTGCAGCCCCCCCAGCAAGGACGTGGCGCCCCTGGTGAACGGCGTGCAGCCCGGCAAGCACGAGAACGGCTTCCCCGGCAAGGAGGTGGGCCAGGGCGTGCTGGAGCTCTCACAGCACAGTGGCAGCACCGACCCCATCATCCCCTTCGGGGACAAGGAGCCCTTCCTCAAGACGGCCGTCGTCAAGCCCCCCCAGGTCACAGGTAGGGGCTTCCCCTGCCCGCCCTTGCCGGAGCTCATCCGCCCGACATGGCTCCCCGGCATGGGGCTCAGTGGGGGTGGGATAGAGCCCCAGCAGGGGGGATTGGGGGGGCCCAAGCAGGGCTCGGGGGAAGGGGCTTGGCTTGGCCCTGGAGCAGATCCTGGCAGAGCGACAGCATCAGCCTGTAGCAAACCTGGGCTGCACAGGTGCCGTCCCCTCCTCTCGCCACCGTGGCCCCTTGTGTCCCGGGCCGTCCTGCCGGGTCTCCCCCTGCCTGTGCTCCGCGCGGAGCCCCGGGCCGGGCTGGCAGGCAGTGTCCCTAATCCGCCTCCTGCTTTCTCTCGCCCGCAGAAGTGCTGTGAGGGGCAGGTGCGTCTCCCTGGGCAGAGCGCCCCCTGGTGGCCCGCGCCGTGGCTGCCTCGGTGCGGGGCGAGGCGAAGTGCCAGTTCCGGACTTTCTCACAGAACTATAGCTGTTACCAGACGAAAAACCACGTCACTCCCACCTACCGCCCCAGGAAGAGGATGAACCGGGCAGGGCAGGGGGCCGGGACGTGCCCCCCCCCGCCAGCCCCAGGGACTCTTGGTTTCTCTTTTTGTTCGTTTTTAACATGCACCTTATCAGACTGACACCCCCGCCCCTCCTAGCGGTTCCCACCGCGCCGCCCCCGACGTGTGGTGTAATAATGTCGTTATTTAACTTGCTGGGGACAGTGTATGTGAATAATGTAAATAAAGCTCCGTGTGACATCAGGGACGAGCGCCAGGCCCAGCTCTCTCTGTGCAGGAGGCCGGGCCCATCCCGCAAGCTTGGAGGGCGCAGGAGGCTGGCCCTGGGTCTAGGGTTCGATCTCCTTTAACCTCCCGTAGCCGGGCCCAGCCAGCCGCTCGGTGCCACTCTGACGACTCCCCCGTGCGACGTGCTACGCTCTGGGCCGCTGCGGGCGTGGGTGTCGGTGCTGTGTGTGGGAGGGGGCCGCCGGGGCCGCGCCCGCCTCGCTCGGTGCCAATGTGACAGTGTTATGCATCTGAACAATAAAATGGAAGAGCCGCCCCGCCTCCGCGTCTGTGTGTGCTCGGAGCCTGCCGGTCGGCCCCGGCCCCTCGCTGCCTCTGCCTCCTGCTCTGGGCCGGGCCCGAGCTGGCAGCTTGGGCAGAAGGGAGGCCTCAGGCTTCTCTTACCATCGCCAGCCAGTGACGCCAGCGCCTCGGACCCGAAGCTGGAGCCAAATGCACACGGCCTCTCCCTGCTGCGCTGGGCCCAGTGCAGGGAACCAAGGCTCAGCCTGGCACCCCTTGCCCTTGAATCTAGCTGTGAGAGATGCTGCTGCAGGATCTGAGCTTTCCTGCCGCTTTACCGCTGCAGTCCAGGAGATGGCAGCAACCTTTGTGCTCTTCCTTCTCTGCTGATGGGGCGTGAGATCCCAGCAGGCCCTGGCCTCTCTCCAAAAGGTAGTTAGCTACAGGGTACTGAGTCCCAGCCCTGGGGCAGCTGCTCGGAGCCCGGGCGGTGCCTGAAAGGAGCAGCGCAGGACCCTGGAGCTCCAGCCACCGGGAGCTCATTTTCCAGCCCGGGTAGGAATTGTGCAGCCGATTCCGTTTGCCGAAGTCGCAACTCCCCGAACGTTTTGTTTTTGTGAATTTTTTTTTAAATCGTAACATTTATTGAAAAATGTTCCTAAAATTTTCCATCCACCTGAAAGCCTCTAAACCCGGATTCAATTTTTAAATTTCCCTTTAAAATGTAAACATAGGATTGAAATCAAAGAGGAGAAGGGAGGCAAATGTTTTTTTGATATTGAATTTTTCACAAATCCCAAACCTTCCATAAAGAACAAGTCATGAACATAAAGAACAACAAGTCATGTTCCATAAAGAACAACCCATGCCACGAGCAACCGCCTGCCACCCACCCCTGCAGCCCACGTGGGGAGAGGTTGGAGTTTGTTAGTTCCTTATGATTGAGAGTTTATTACAAATACCCTGGAGCTATGGGCCCACCCCCAGCGTAGTGTGTCTGGGTGCACAGCCCAGCCGGGCTTAGGAACCCTCTGCTGTCCAGAACTTCCCCTTACCAGCAAGGTCTGTTTGTTACATGGAAGGTCTCTGATTATCGGGAAAGCTGGTCCTAGCACAGTGAGCCCGGTGGTTGGGGATGTATTGTAGACACCATGATCTCGCTCCTGGCTTGGTGTGGTTCGGAGGATTGGGACTGGCAGAGCAGACAGCTGTGGGCTAGCCAGATGCTTATGCTGCCTGCTCCAGTGCTGACAGTGTAAGGGCAAGGACTGTCTCTTTGGGGTGTAGCCAGGCAGTGCCCAGTGGCCAGGAGCTACCACAGTGCAAGTACGAGTTAATAACAGTAGGGCAAGGCAGATCCTTTCTTAGCCATTTGTGGTAAGGTCTCCCCTTTGGCCTCTGCCCTGTGTCGCTAGCCTCCAGGCCTGGAAAACGCAAGCAGAGAAAAGGATTTGGGAGGGTTGTGTTAATTGCTGAGATGCCGAGGAGCAGTCGTTAGTTGACTCCTGGGCCGGGGAGCCTGCTCGTCCCCCACCACAGGAGCGGAGGGGTGCGCTGCCGGGGAAGGTTTCTGTGGTGGGCTGCTGGATACTTTCCGCCCCAGCCTGCGAAGACAGCCGGTCTGGCTCCAGCCCTGGGGACCCGAGGATCCCGCTGCTCCCTTGGAGGAACAGATTCCTCAAAGCGTTAAATCTCTTTCCTAACCCCGCCCCCAGGACTCTCCCCGCCCCTCCCCCTCTAGCTGGCTGCTCAGCTGTTCTTCCCTTCTAATATGTCGATGACACTCGGGGGGTCTATTTTCAGCCCCCTTCAGCATACCAAGGTCAGCGTGGCTGGCCCTGGTGCATGGCTCTCGCTGGCTTCCTCCCCTGCCCACCCACAGAGCCTGGCAAGGTGGGAAAGGGGCCTCTGGGCATCATCAGGCTGGAAGGCAGCAGGAACGTGACACTCATGGTGCTGGTTCTGCCGGTGCCAGGAGCGGAGCCAGGGCAGGTCCGGCTGCAGCCCAACACTAAAGCGGTAGAGCTGCTAATAATAACCGAAGAGCGAGACTCTTCCTTTCACAGTGCTCAGAGGGCCGTGCCCCCCTTATACGGATGGGGAAACTGAGGCACAGAGCGGATCCAAGGTCAACACAGAGCCCAGCTCTCCTGGTTCCCAGTTTCCTGCTCAAAAGCAATGCCAGGTTGTGCCAGGGCTGCGTTCGAAGCCAGCCCTGGGGTCTTAGGAGGGGGTTCAGAACCAGCGGAAGCCGGGATCCGTTCCCAGCTCCAGCAGCTGAAATCTGACATGCTGTGTCGGCTCCTATCAGCACTAGGTGGTTGTTTCTTAAAGGGCCAGGGCTCCAGACCAGATAGGAAGGTGGTGGGTCATATACCTCAATGGTGCCCTGAGGGGAGGGAGTTCCTGTCCGGGCCCAGCAGGGTGCTCTCTGCTGGTGGGCTTGATGGAGCTGTGGGTCACGCAACCCACTCTCATGAGCATGCCCACCCCTATCCCTGGGGTGCAGGACGCTCCTCCCACGTCTAGCTAGGCCAGGAGGTGACCAGCTGAGTGACAAGGTCTGACTCCAGCAGCAATGCTGGGGACACTCCGCTCCCCATAGCTCTTGTCTGATGTACCCCGAGAACACTGCTTTGCTGGGCTCCCTGGTGCAGCTCCGCTCTGGAGCACTGACGGGGGCCCAGGGGTCTGCAGTAAGTCTTCAGCTCCTCCGGCATTGCAGACTTCCTTGGGGTGTCTGATTTTAACCATCACAGCAGAGATTGTTCTGGCTGTTCCAGCACCTGTATCAGCATTGCTCTCAGCTGGGCCTCCCATCTCAATGGTTTTTGCTCTGCTGTGGCACTCTGTCCAGATCAAATGGCCCATCATTCCTTACAACGGCGCACGGAGGGAGGGAGTGCAGTCGGACAGGGGGTGGGGGACCCTGGAGGTGGAGTAAGGAGCAGTGCTGTCCCTCTCCCAGTGCTACTGCTCCCAGGAAGAGGCCAGGAGAGTGCAGAGAGAGCTGAATGCCCCCCCAGCCCAGCAAGCAGCAATGGGGGGGAAGGACCCACGGGCCAACTGATGTGGAGTTTATTAGACACAAAGTGGGGGAGGTAATGTCTTTTATTGGACCAGCTTCTGTTGGTGAGAGAGACAAGCTCTGAGCTTACAGGCCTGGGAAAGGAACTCGGAGCATCACAGCTCAGTACAGGGTGGACCGGATTACTCGCAGGAGGAGTTCACACACGTTCGAAGGGACCATCCAAGGTGAAGTGGCCTGTTAACACTGCTGCAGCCATGGGGCAAAAACATGAATTTTATTAGACCTTTGCGCTGCATCCAGCCCAACCACACAGGCTGCCCTACACCCAGAAGCGATGCTTTTTAATGGGACTGCAAATGACTCACTATTAATTGTATTACAACAGCACCTAGAGGCTGCAACTGTGTTCGGGGCCCCATTGTGCCAGGTGCTGCACAGGCCCAGAGACACACAAGGGCTGGGGAAGTGAGGCCCAGAGAGGCTGGTGACTTGCCCTGGGTCACACAGGGAGTCAGTGGCAGAGTAGGGAATTGACTCTTGGCGTGTACCTCAGGACCCTCCTCCATGCCCGAGCCATCCTGTTAGATCTGTTCCAACAGAGGACACATCAGGTGTTAGGGTGGCTCTTGGGATGGAGGCTGGGAGGCGAGTTCTTGCCATCACAAATTCACACATAAAGACATCTGAGGCCTTGCGTTAGCACTACGTCACCAAGCCAGTCCTGAGGCTGATGGATCATGGAATTAAAACGATCCCATCTGCAGGTGGAAAAACCCACAGGCCGCGCTGGCAAGCCCTGCAATGCTCCAAGAAGCCTGAGAGTGTGGAAAGCCTCAGACTTTCCTTCCACTTGTAAATATCAGGGATCAGGCCGTATGTCAAGCCCAGAGGGACCCTGCCAGTGATGGGAGGGGAACAACCCATGCATTGGCTCCAGGGGGCGGAGCAGCATCTGGGGTAGTGCAGGGTTCACAATCAAACCAGGGATCTTCTCCCACAACTTGTCCTCTGCTTCTGCACAAGGCCAGCCCGCAAGTCCCCTGCATGTTCAGTTGTCACTAGGAAGGGCCCAGTGCACTGGCCCCCCAGGGATGGGGACAGGTGGTGCTTGGTTAGCTGGCTGCGATGCAGTTATCTGTAATATCTTTCCAAAGCAGGCTGGGCAGCATAGCGCCAGTGGGCCCAATCCAAGTCCACCGCAGCCACTGCCAGACTTTCCATTGGCTGAGGATTGAGCCCTAAGTGTTCATAACTGGGTTTTCATTGGCTGAATTGTAAGGCCTGAGGCTCAACTGGGCAAATAAATGAAACAGGTGTCAGCTCTGAGCAAAACTCCCTGAAGCTGCACTTAGAACAAGAGCCTGTCTGTAAAGAGCACACTGGGGCGGCTGAGCAGGCGCTGTGGTGTGTGTGCTCCTGAAAGATTGCAGGCACCAGCTGGAAATCAGCATCCGCTGAGCTGGGCCTTTGTTTGTTTTGTTAATTGCCATGGGACCCTCACAGCTGCCCTTCACCAGGAATAATAAAGGAAATAACATTCAGCTCCTTCCCTGCTGGAAGCCCTATACCCCCACGAAGGAAGCCGGCCTCATGCCCGTCCCCCCTTGAAGAAGGCAAGTTATTCTTAACCCCATTGGACAGGTAAGAAACCCGAGGCACAAAGAGATGAAGGGTCTTGCCCAGGCCCAGACAGAATCTCAAATCCAGCCCCAGGCTCTGATCTCTAGACCAGTAAGACCCCGGGCAGACCAGCAAGGAAAGAGTCACTGTGAATCAGGTGTGGGCTAGTAGCAGCTTGGTAGTGGCAGCAGCAGGGCCCGGCTGTGAACACACAAATCTTTCCAGCTACAAGGCTTGCAGAGAAAGAAACAATCACTTGGGCTTCTGCTGCCATGGAGTCCCCATCCCAGGGCAGCTTTCTGACACCGACCATCTCTCATTAGCAGCAGGCACAGGAGGGGAGGCAACTCCCTGCTCTTTTTCCCTGATAGTTTGGGATCCTGCAAATCATAAGAGCAGCCCTGGGTAATTTCAAAGGTCAGTGAAAAACAATCCAGACTCCTCTGGCTTGGGGTCTGTAAGCAACAATGGCTGTTTGCTTAATTGCTTCTGAAACCAGGCGCTTTTCTGAAGGAAAGGCAGAGTCCTGCTCTAACCCAGCCTCTAAACCTCACAACCCCTTTCTGCTGTTCCACCACCTTCCCGCCCCTGCAGAAAGCAATGCCTTACTGCCCCCAGAGCCAGACTTCCCCAAAGCCATAGGGACGAGTCTTAAAACTGCAGCGTGCAACAAAGGAATCACTAGGAGTGGGCACCCGCATGGAGAATTTCCCAGCTTTGGGCGGAGAGAGGTGGCTTGGAACAAGCCCAGACCCTCCAGTTGCTGCCCAAGGTTAAAACCGAACTGTAAATACATACTTGTTCAGTTTCCAAAAGGTCAGGAGAAATGGCCTCATTTCCAGTTTCAGGCAGAGGCAGGAACCCGAATGCTGAAAAACCACGAGTCAATTTCTCAGGAGATTCTCCACCTGGCTTTGCAGATCTAGATTTAGGAAGCCTGGGCAGCACTTTACCAACTGACCCTCGCAGCCCTGGACAAAGTCCATTCCTGCTCTCTCTCTGGTGAGGAAACTGAGGCAAAGAAGTGAAGTGACTTGCCCAAACTCAAGCAGTGAGGAACCAGGAATAGAACTTGAGAGTCCAGACTCACGATCCTCTGCTCTAACCCATCCTCTAAAGCTCTTGGTTCCTAGCCAGATTCCAATCCCTTGACTTTGCCACTCAATAGGATAGTTTGCACATTCCCGGTGCCTGCCTCAACACATGAATTTTTAGGCCATAACTTGTGGGTTTCTTGTTCTATCCTATTCTAGTGCAGAGATGGCTGCAGAAAGCGGGGAGGAGAACTCTAAACAAGGAAGCAGCATCTGGGCAAAGGCAGCCACAGCAACTCAGTGCAGGCCTCTTCTGAAACTGCCTGCTCAACAGGCTCTGGCAAAAAGCTGCCTGTGTTTTCTGCAGCTAATTCATGCGAACTAGCTCTTTCCCCTTTAACCTCCTCTGTGGAGTTCTTTCCACCTTGGTACAGCCTCTCCCACCTTCAGGGAGGGTTCCATGTACTCTGTGGCACATCCTGTGGCAGAGGCCGGATTGTGTCTCATGTCCTGACATTTCCTATCACATGGAGAACGAATTTAACCCAGTACTGGCTAGAAGCAGAGTATAGGCTTCATGATGTCCCTCTAACACCGATGATTCCATAGGTCCCCAGGCCCCGCAGAAGGGTCTATGCCTCTTGCTGAGTCTCCAAATCCATTCATAGTGGGTGGATGCATCTGAAGAAGTGGGTTTTTTACCCATGAGAGCTTGTGCCTAAATAAATCTGATAGTCTTTAAGGTGCCACCAGACTCCTTGTTGTTTTTGTGGCTACAGACTAACACGGCTACCCCCTGATATTATTCGCCAGTAATGAATCTTCCCAAGTCCTGGGGGTCAGCCCCTCCCCATCGCATGTAGAGGTTTCAGATACCCTGACACAGAACGGGCTCAAGGCTTTGTCGGAAGCGAGAGACGGTAAAGTCCTGGTGCTGAGGGAAAGAGCCACTCTTCTGGCTGAAAGGATTTTAACGGCCACGGTTCCAAGCGGCACCTACGATTTCTTTTTAAAATCTTTCTCACTGCCCAATTCAGGATCCAGGTTAGTCACATGGGTTAGCCACCCTGACCCCGGCCCCAGCCCCAGCCAGGGGCTCTAACCCCCCCAACCTGGGCCCACCCCCAGGGGGAGTTTACCCCCCCCCAATGAGGCCCCATTCTCAGTGAGGGGACCTTTGACCCCGCCCGAAGCACCACCCCCTCCGTTCTACGTGCGGCGCGTGCTGCGGAGGAGGCCGGCCCCCGCGCGGGGCCTGCCGGGAGTTGTAGTCCCCTCCGCCGCTGCGGCCAATGGGCGGAGGCCGCTCGGGGACTGCGTCTCCCAGCAGCCCACGCGGCAGGCGGGAGCCGGGGCCTGTGAGGCGGCGTCGTAGGAGGCGAAGCGGCGCGGTCGCAGCAGCAGTGGAGGCCGCGGGTTCAGCAGGAGCCGGTGAGTGAACGGGCCTAGCGCCTCCCCTCAGCCCTTGTGCGGCAGCGGAGCCCCGCGCGGGCCCGGCCCTGAGGGGAGAGTCCCGCCGATCCCGGCCTGGGCCGCCCCGGGCGGGGCCCCTCCGAGGGGCTCGCCCCCCCTCCCCCCGGAACGAGCCCCCTTCCCGGGCGGCGGCTCGGGGCTGGGCCCAGCGTCCCGTCCCGCCCTGGGCGCGAGCTGCCGGCCTAGGGCCCGGCCTGCGCGCGCGGCTCGGCCCGCGTTACCCGGCCGCTGGGCTGGGCCCGGGCCCGGGCGGGCAGCTCGCGCGTGGGGCGGGCCCCCTGTGTCCCCTCGGCCGTCTCCGCCCCCACGGGGATCGCGGGCCCGGGCTCTGCCCACGGGCAAGGCCCTGCTGACCCCGAGCTCCAGCCTCCGCCTTGCGTGGGCCCTGCGCGAGGCAGGCGGGCCCCGGGGTAGTGCGCAGACGGGCTGTGCGCGCCGGGCCTGTGCTGAGCGGGCTGCTCCTTTTCCGGCCAAGGTCTTAGCCCCGCGCCCGCGGTGCATAGCCAGCGCGCCCCGCGGGAAGGCGGGTGATACGGGCCCACGCACGGTCCGGTTGCTGTAACGGCATCTGCGCCGGGGCTTACATCGGTAACATGCGAGCGGAGATTAGGCCCAAGAAATCCGCTTGCGGTGGCTGTCCCCCGTGGGCCTGGTTTGTAGCCGTGACCCGCGGAGAGATCGCTACCTTCCGCCAGCTGCACCGCTCTGGGCAGACCCAGGCCGTGAAATGGGAGCCTGCAGCATGGGGGGGGGAGAACCAAGTTGCAGTCCTTATTGTTGGGAAAGAGGGCAAGCGCAATGGCCCACGTGTGCCCTGTTTAGTGTTTATGGTTCATGGGTTATAACACACTTTGCTCAGCCAGTGTGGATGGGGCTTGAACTGGTCTAGAGCAGGGGTTCTCAGCCCATGGGTTGTGACCTGAAATTGGGTCACCAGAATGTTTCATAGTGTCACGTGATGGCTGCTGTGTCTCTGGTCCCACAGGACTGGTTGGACTGGGCTGCCATCATGACAATGGGGGGGGCCAGTGGAGCCCAATTTGAGTGGTGCTGCAACCCCAGATGTTGCAGTGCCTGGAGTTGCAAGCCAAGTCCAGCCAGCCCTTCAGAACCAGAACTGCCACTACAGGGGCAGTATGGGGTGGGATGGGATCTGCAACCTGACACCTCTCATCCCCCCCCACCCCCAGCCTGTTTACTGGGTTGTGATAGGCTATCAACATTTATAAATTGGTCCTGAGCCCAAAAAGGTTGAGAAACTACTTTTCTAGAAGATCTGTCTCCCTTTGCGTATATCCCTCCAAATCCCAGAAGATAATATTTAGTCAGTGCCAATGTAATGTTATTAAAATGTTAAATTATTTAACAGGTATACTGCAGTATAGTCTGAAGGCCACAACCAGGTTGTGCTAGTCACTGTATGAACATCTGATAAAGGACTCCTGGTGACATGGATGTGAAATGCTGTGTATTCCACTTCCAGTCCCTTGAGAAAATGGGGTTCCTCAGAATAATTTAGTAACCTATTGTTTAGAGAGACAAGGTGGGCGAGGTAATATCTTTTTTTGGACCAACTGCTGTTGGTGAGAGAGACAAGCTTTCAAGCTACACAGAGCTCTTCCCTTGGTCTTCTGTGTAGCTTGAAAGCTTTTTCTCACCAACAGCAGTTGGTCCAGTAAAAGATACTACCTCACCTGTCTCTAATATAATATTTATCCTTTGACTTTTCCCTGCCATGTTTACAAGTTAAGGATCTATAAAACTGCAGAGAATGTGGTGGTTGCATTGGAATTTTACTGTAAATGACACTATTTTGTTGTAAAGTCTCATAATCATACTCATATCTTCTGTATAGGAGGACTAAAATGGACTAGATTTTTATCTAAGACCATCTAGGTCCCTTTTTGATAAACTGGACGAGACATTGCTTGCTTTGCCCAAAGACTAAATCTGCTTCCCTTCTGGACATTGTTATTCAAGGTATGAAATGAGCTAGGACACTAAGCTGGATTCTCCAGCAGTGCAGTATGTCGTCACTAGGCTGCCTTACTATCCGGCTTCTAAATCATTGGTTTTTGCTTTTAGAAATGGCAAAGTTTTACTTCATAATGACTATTAGGATTATTTTGGGAAACGTATTTAAAGTAACCTGTAAAAATATAAGACAAGCTGGAGTCCTGTGTAACTGGGCTCACTCAAGTAATTTAGACCTGGAACTTGATGCTCCTCAAAGCTGAGGCCAGTACCTTTACCCTTCATCTAAATATAATAAATGATATATATTTAACCCATTCCTAAGTGACAAGTGCCTAATATGGGCTTTGTTATCACTCTTGCCATCTGCTAAGCCTCTTAGTGTTCCCTTAAGTTGGAGGTGATATGACCACCACTCTGCTGGGCAAGCTCAGAAGGAATGCTGCTCTGAATATGGCAGGTACTGAAGATTCATGCCACCGCAGTGACTCTTTCTTATGGGGTATTTGTTTGCTTTATGGGCCCAGATAACTGTTTATAGGCTCAGGAGCTTGAGGTTTGCAAGTGCTTTGTATAGCATCATTTCTCACTAGACTTCTGCTGGGATAGGAGACAGATATTCCAACATGAATCTTCTGATAACCCCCAGGAAAACTGTGTTTCTACTCAGAGAGCAACATTATGGGCAAACTCACTGAGTAGAACAAGGAGCAAAGTACTTTGTGACATAATAGATTGAGACTACAACAGTTTGCCCACTTCATAAAACTGACCAACTTGTGCCAGTGCCAAGACACGACAGTGATGGGTGCTGTATGCTAACGTAGATAATTAAAAGCAGGGAGAGGGTCCTCTGCCTCACTTTGTATCTGCTTCAGTCTTTGTGGAAGTGCCAAAACAGAGTGCTTGTTGGAGTGAACATTGAGTCACAACAGCAGATGCAATGCCTATGCTCTTCTTATGTGCTTTTCCTCACATTATTGTTTGGCAAAGGCAGTTACTTTTTTTTCTGGCACCAAAATCAGGGAGCTAGTGTGCATGCTTATGGTGATAACCGTAATATATGTACCTAGTAAGACAGTAGGTACATTATAGTGTTAAGGCATGCTGTGTATAGCCATCTCATTAGTCAGATGCTGGTATTAGGAGAGGGCTTCTGTTTGTCCTATTTGTTGCTATGAATTCTGACCCTCTTTGCAGTCCAGGAAAAGGATGTATTTCTCAACAGTTGGCCTGCAAATCTTAGGCCTTCAGAATTTGCTGAAGGAATCTGATTCCTTCTTTTTGTGACCATCTAAGTGTTTAAATATCACAATGAAAGGCACCGTAGCGATATCTGAGATAGAACAGGCAAGAACTAATCCACTGGCAGAAAGCAAAGCAGTGTGAGGAAAGGGCTGAGTAATGAGAGGCATTGTCACCTGTTCTGATATATAAGGTCAATTGGAAAGGCATATGAAGCAAGATAGTTATTCTGGAGAGTCATGTAAAATGTATATTTTTGAGGCACAGAATACCTCAAGGAGTTTCCAGTGCCTTGCCATAGTTCAGCTTTTCTTGGAATCTGTATTTCCTTCTGTTCCCGCATATCTACAGTAGTACAAAAAATAGTGCTGGTCTCTCTTTTGCCAGGTACAGAAGACACTGTGCTGAAAGCCAAGGGAAAAGAGCTGTCTCAAAAAGTTTTGGAGAGTGCCATTATAGACACTGTTGGTTATGAGATTATTATCTCAGACCAGAGGGACCAGTGACCTTGGTCAATTTTTGAAACATATTGATAGTTTTAATATCTTGAGTCACTGTATTTATTTATCTCTTAACAAATCTTTTCCAATCCTTTAAAATTAAGAACGTGTCATTAACTTACGAGGAGTAATTCTCCCTGCACTGAAGGGAGAATGTTCTACGGCTCTGGACTAATAGTTGTGGTATTTTATAGCTCTGTCTTCATCCTGGGTTTCTCTCTGCAGGAGGAGGAAAAGTGATTGTTCCACTGCAGTGCTGTACAGCATGTAGTAAACAGTGAAGATGCAGAAGGTGTTATCACATGCTAATGGGAAAACCCAAGCTGGCATGCCTGGGCAGCCAAAGTGATTTCCTGGTAGCCTTGGGTGTACACCTTTCTTATGGGGAGGAGTAGCAGGCTTGAGGAATGGGTAATTGCTGTTCTGAAGGCAGAATGACAGTGCAGAAACATTTTGCCAAGCTCTCTCTCTCTCTCTCTCTCTCTCCCTGTTCATAGCCCTGTGTTTTTATTCACCATCCAGCTCTCTGCAAGGAGACCAAATCTTAGCTTGTAAATATGGGCTCATATCACTCCCCATCTAGTGCCTTTTTAAAATATTTGATGCCTAATGTGCTCCTGAGCTGTCTGGTAGTCAGTGGCTGGCTGTGCATTGGCAACCATCAGTTACAAGTTCTAATTTATGTGCAGGGTGGATAAAAATCAATGATTTAAAAAAAATCAGATTTTTTTTATTTAAATCAGATTTTTTTGATAAAATGCTTTTTGAGGAAAAAAACCTATCTAAAGAGTTTTAATTAAGATACATTATAGCTCAAAGATATCTCATCATGGAATAGGGATTATAAATTCTAATTCTATAGTAGAAGGCAGTATATTCATGTAATTTTTAAGAAAAGTTTTGTAAATGAAGTTCCAATAGTTCATGAATTAGGGATCCAATCTTAAAGGGTTCCAGGGGCTTCTGTATAGA